CGAGGGGTCCACTACCCCCACGATGACGTGCTTGTCATAAAACTGAGGATCAGCGACTTCGAAGTCAGGCGCGTACTTGTTGATTCAGGCAGCTCGGCGAACATTCTCTTCAAGTCGGCATTTGACCAGCTTCAGTTGCAAAGAAGCGAGTTGAAGCCCGCAAACACTCCTCTGGTGGGCTTCAGCGGAGAGAAAGTCAGGCCCCTCGGGAAAATAACAGTACCTGTGGAAGTCGGCACATGGCCCTGTGCGGTCAGATTCAACCACGATTTCCTGGTGGTCGCGACCCCCACCCCATACAATGCCATAATAGGGCGGCCAATCACTCGTGTCTTACGGGCAGTGGTCTCCACCTACTACTTGGCAATGAAGTTTCCTATAGACTTCGGTGTGGGGGTAGTGCGGGGCGACCAGCTTGAGTCCCGCAAGTGCTATGTTGCCGCCTTGAAAGGAAAAACCAAGGTGGCCGACGACCTCGAACCGGAGCGGCCTACGGAGCAAGGCGAAGAACGAGCTTCGCCCACAGAAGAAACGATCGCAATCCCAACTTCAGCTGCGGACCCGGCTCGGACACTACAGATCGGTGCTTTCGTCCAGGAACCTCTACGAACCGAACTGGTGAGTTTCTTACTTCGAAATTTAGATATTTTTGCATGGTCCGCGGCCGATATGCCCGGTATTGATATTGACCCTGTAGTCAGACCCATTAGACAGAAGAAACGAAACTTAGCCCCAGAACGCTGGAGGGCGGTTGATGAGGAGGTCGAAAAGCTCCTCGCAGCAGACTTCATAAGGGAAGTTCATTACCCGAACTGGGTAGCCAACCCAGTTCTGGTAAAAAAGGCAAACGGCAAGTGGCGCATGTGCGTCGACTACACTGACCTGAACCGAGCTTGCTCGAAAGATTGTTTCCCCCTCCCCAGAATTGACCGCCTAGTGGACGCGACCTCGGGACATGAGTTGCTAAGCTTCTTGGACGCCTACTCGGGCTACAACCAAATCAGGATGGACCAGTCCGACGAAGAAAAAACCACCTTTATAACCGAGTTCGGCCTGTACTGCTACAAGGTCATGCCCTTCGGACTGAAGAATGCTGGGGCGACCTTCCAAAGACTCTTGAATAAGCTGTTTCAGCCCTTAATTGGCACGAAGATAGAATGTTTAGACGACATGGTCGTCAAGACACAGTTTTCGCATGAATTAATACAAGACTTACATTCTGTCTTCCAAATTCTGCGTCAATTTAGCATGAAACTAAACCCAAACAAGTGTGTCTTCGGAGTCACCTCGGGTAAGTTCCT